GATGTAGAAACTTGAGGGTGTGAATAATTTAATCCTAACTGTCTGGAGCACATCAGATGAATCATGCCCTGGAGGACCCCAGCAACAACTGGAACTCTCTCGACCTGTCTCACTGTCTGGCATAAAGGACCCAAACTTTTGCTGACCCACTGCTCTTCTGCAGGCCCCAATTTTAACCTTTTAGGAAGTAGCAAAGGAAATGGTCAGTCCTAGAAGAGAAAATAGAGTGGCTGGTTGAGCAGTGGAGGAGATTTGTAAAGAGGAGGTTGTCTGTCTCCTGTTGATATGTCAAGGCAAAATGTCCTTTGGGAAGAGATGCTGTAGTCAAATTCAGATTTTGGTTTCATTCCAGAAGTCTCGAGGGGAATTTCTCAGTCTGGATCATGCAAGGATCCTGCTTGGATAATCTGACAGTCCTGTCAGGCCATGAACATGCATTGTGCGCTGTGCTGGGGGGAGGAATGAGGCATTTGCAGATCCAGGGATCTCTGATCTCTGCCAATGACACCCTGCTAGTGCTGTCCTCTCCATTTCCAAGGGATCTCCAAAGGGTTATTTGGTGTCACTGCCTGGAGGACACTTTTCATGTCTGTAAGACTGGGTCATCAGCAGGAACACAATGAGGGAAGATTATAGGAATTTTTTAGGCTTTTTGGTCAGTCTGGGCAAGACGACAGCGAGATCCCATCCCATCCCGTCGCACCTTGATTTGAGGTGGAAGTGCTGCAAGGCAAGACAAAGACACCTGCCCAGTTTAACAAGTGGTCTTGAGTACTCCATATTTCATTCCACAGTCACCCTGGGGGGCGCCCAAACAGGAGCTGCACCAGAAGGGACGTGGCTTTGCTGGACACAGACAGGATTAACCCCGAGGAACGCGAGCAGTGGGTCACTCCACGGAGGCTGTGACTCTCGACATTTGCCTGGGAGCGGGGTCGATGGCCAGCCTTATTTCCGGAATGAGTTCGCGCCTCCCAGGCCCCGTGTCACCCTCCAGGCTCCCGTTTGTCCGGGGGGCAGTTTGATGCGTGTCCTCAGAGGGCACATCCGATGGGTGCAGACACTCAGAGCCTCGGGATGCCCCCGCCCTGGCTCGGTCCAGCCCCCTCGCACGCCCGACGGGCAGGAAAAGGTCCAGAGTGGCTTCCCCAGGCTGCACACGAGTGTTAAAGTCTAATAAACAAGCCCTGCCGGCCAAAGCTGAAAGAATCCGAGCCCTCCCTAACAAAGCATTTAATCCAGTTTGGCGTAACCTTTGACATTATTAGGGATCGCAGTGACCCTAATCCAATCAGATTGATTAACTAAAGCGGAGACCCCATAAGCTGACCCCCCTCTGGCCTCTGCTATTTAGTCCTGACCAAACAGTGGGAGAGACGTGCCGTATTTACACCACAATGGGTCGGCGCTGAGAACCTGTTTCATTACAGAGAGACTTAAACTCCCATTACTCCATCAATGTATCATTCTTCAATAGTTCATTAAAAGCTGCTCCTCCACAATAACTATTAACCATTTCTCAGCCCAGCTGGCAGGTTTAAAGCCCCGGCCAGTCTTTAGCAGAAGGAGGTGGGAGTGAGGGAAAGAAATAGATAGACAAGGGCTCCCTTTTTAAATTTAAACGAACTGGGGACTTAAATAGTTGGAGGTAATTTACTTTTACTGAATGGAGGGAGGAGAGAGAGAGAGAGGAAACTTTTATTTTGACTTAATTATGTGGTGAGGTCCTTTAAAGAGACAGGGCCATGATAAGCTTTTATGGTATTACTCCTCTGGAGATTGGCTCATATTTCTGCCCAGAGGAGTTTCAAAGAGAACTCACACGGTATTGGGAGTGTAAAATCACAACTTAAGCACGAAAAACCTCTTCAGCCCACAAATGCAAAAGGCACAATTCCCAGTAAGCTGGAGATGGAAAATGCCTGTCAGGTTGGACTGTTCACTTTCTGCTGTCAGTGATGGCGCCTCCTTCTCCTGCATCGTCCAAAGTTTTGTCCTGTGCGTTCTTAGAGACAGCTCAAAAATCCTCCCTTCTCCTTGGTAAACTGAAAGATGCAACAATTGCATTAAGAACTGCTCTCAGGTAAGTGGGTGAGCAGGAGCTGTGGCTCAGGTGGTCATTTCAGGTCATGCAGCCATGGCCATACTTTTCTTCCCTTCATACAATACAGGTGAAGAAACAAGTAAGAACTATATTTTTCCTTTAGACATTAGTGTTGGAAAAGTTCAGGTGAGGGGCTCTTTCTACTGTCTAGCAGTTGAGATTTGGGCTTCTGGAGACTAGAAATGAGCTGTAACCTCTTTATATTAGAGATGATAAGCAGATTAGGTTTAGGTAGAGAGAAAGACATCAAGTTCAAATCTTTCCCTGTACAGGAATCCACGTTCTTTGCATTCCAAACAGTCTAGGCTGACCAAAACTCCCATTTCCTGGGGATTTTCAAGGAATACCCAACAGTGGCACCTGTATGAATGTTTCTCCATGAGGCTGCACAGCTGCCCATGTACTCCCAAGATCACAAAGGAGGAGAAAATCCCTGTTCCACAGCCCTGACCTTAAAGCTCATCTTGTTTCCACCTCCTGCCATGGGCAGGGACAGCTTCCACTACCCCATGATGCTCCAAGCCCTATCCAGCCTGGCCTGGGACACTTCCAGGGATGGGGAGTCCACATATCTCCAGATAACTGAATAGGGAAGGTTTATTCCACAGCCAAGGACCTGCAAAGCAGAGTGCTCAAACAGGGTGGGAAGGGGATTTCTGCTCTTCCTCTGTCCTGGGTGACATAGAAAGAGCAAGATGGATTTAGGGTCAGGCCTGTCAAGAGCTGCCTTCCAAAGCAGCAGGTCAGGATCCCCTGGACATCACCATTCCCTGGTAGCTGAGCCCATCAATGCCATTCCTGTTTAATGTGTGATTCATTATAGAATCCCAGAGTTGTTAGGGTTGGAAGGGACCTTGGGAGATTAGGCCTGGCTAAAAAAAAAAAAAAATTATATAAGTCCACGTAAGTGTGGACTTAGCTAAACATGTGGGATCTTTTTCCATGAAAAGGCTGATGGGGAAAAGGAGTCTGGTTTTAGATGAGATACCAGAACATGGCTCTTAGCAGGACCAGAGCTGGTGACAGTTTGGCACTGCTGAATCGCAGCTCAAGCCTAGCCCTGAATGAGCAATGAGGTCCCCCAGCAGCACGGGCAGCTCAGACAGAGAGGCAGCCTCAGCAAGATTCGGGCCTGGAGAGGATTTCCTGGAGGCATTAAAATCGGTCCTTTTCAGTGAAAGAAGTGCAGATAGTCTGTGAGGCAAAGGGGAGATGCTTTAGGAGCTGCTCTGGTTTATGCTGAGGGAGGATCAAGTCCCCACTGACTCACACGAGAGCTGCACTCAGATCCCGGGTGACTTAAATCCAAGCTGCAAAACAGATTTCTGCTTCCTTGCTTTCCCTCTCTCCTTTTTCCCTTTTCTCTTTCTGGGTAGGAGCTCAAGTATGTTCCTACCCTGGGGGATCTGCCGCACAAGAATGTGACTGAGCTGTTTTTTTTTCTCCCCCCCTCCTGCTGTAGGTGAAGCAAAACTGAAGGGTGGTTTGATTCTCCCTCAAGGAACAACATTCTTCAGTTATGAAATCGTCCCAGTCTCCTCTCCCTCCCCGAGCCCAGCTACCAAAAGCCTCCAGTGTGGAGCAGGGACAGACCCCTCGCACCAGCACCACTGTGAGATAAGGGAGTTTGACACATTGTGGGGTTGGGGTTCCTTCGGTCAGCAGGGAGGTCAGGAGTAGTTTATCCACAAGGATAATTGCTACTGCAGATCTGGGGTGTGTAATCCCAGACTGGCTGGGATCATCTCGTCCAGAAAGGTCAGGAACTCCCCATCCTTGAAAGCCCTCAAGGCCAAGTTGGACAGGGATTGGAGCAACGTGGTCTGGTGGGGGGAAATGCCCAAATCTATTCTGAGTAATGCAGCAGGGGGTAAACTAAAGGGAAAAAAAAAAAAAAAAMAGATGGGAAGCACTGGAAAAGCACACCCTGAGGTGGATATAGATCAATTATATACAACAGGTTCCCTGAAAATATACCAGATGCTCAAGCAAGGAAGGAAGAAAAGAAGGAAAGAAGGAAAGAATGAAAGAAGGAAAGAAGAAAAGAAGGAAAGAAGGAAAGAAGGAAAGAAGGAAAGAAAGAAGGAAAGAAGGAAAGAAAGAAAGAAGGAAAGATGACCCTCTTTGGGCTAAAGGGAAAGGCAAAGCTTGACCCAGACTTAGTGAGACCGGCAGGACCAGGCTGGACTTTAAAAGACACAGCAGGGGCAAAGAAACATGAAACAGCTCTCACAGGATAAAATAGGCTCCTACCTGCCTATCAGGGAAAAGACCAGACACTCAGGCTTAGGGCTTAAATCTCACAGAACTCAACAACTCAAGGCAAAGAATTCTTAAGAGTTCCCACTTCTATCAAGGGGTGCAGAAATCACCACCTGAATTTGCACCCTGTCCTAATTTGCTGCGCTCATAACCAGGGAAAGCAGAAGCATTAACTGATGGGTATTTCCCCAGGCCTTTGTTCTTCATTGTTTCATTACAGTATCAAAACTGATGTCATCTGACAAGTCCAGTCCCTAGGAGCCATCCCCAACAGCCCAACATTTCCCCTCTGCCATTCTCTAGAGAGCTGGAATTTCAGCACGGGGTCAGAAAAGGAGCAGGTTCAGCTTGACCACTGCAAACACAACAATCCTTTGTGCTCCTCCCCAGGGGTGTAGGATCATGGGATAATTCATGCTGAAAGGCACTCAGGGAGGTCTCCAGTCCAACCTCCAGCTCCAAGCTGGAAGTGAGATGATCCCACTCCTTCCTCAAGCTTAAGTCCTGTCTCCTGCAGGACATTTTACAGCACATTTTTTCCAGAAGGAAATGAGTTCACAGGAGGTTTCCCAAGATCTCTGCTGCCACTCCACCATGGACATTGGCCTTCCCAAACCCGTAGCTCCTCACTCACCTTTATCCAGCACGGGCCCAAAGATGGCCAAGCTGTCGTTGACGGTGGTGCAGTTCCACCTTCTCCCTCGGAACTGGTGTTGGCACTCCTGGATGCCAATCTTCACCCCCTCGGCCACGCTGGGCATGATCTCCACGTAGTTCCGACAGAAGCGCAGCTGCTTGGGCACCAGGCCCGGGATGCTGCCGCACAGGATGGGCTGAGTCCCCAGGGAGGAGTACTGGTGACCAATTGCCAAGGACCTGGGCAAAAAGAAAACAGGGGAAAAGAGATGCTGTCAGGCTGGATTTCACCTCTGTACTTGATCCAAGATTTGATCGATTTGATCCAATTTGATTGATTCACCTTTGTACTTGATCCACAAGAATGGGGACAGAAAATCAACATTTTCAGTTGCTCTGAGTTCCCCTCACCAGAAAACACTGTTTTCACTGTCATCCCTCCCCAAAACAACAATATCTCTCTCCTGAAGTTACCTACAGGCCCAGCACAAGAAACTCTACTTTTAACATCTTCCTTCCCTTTTTTTATCCTCTCCAAGCCTTAATCCATCGTTGTGCTGCTTCTCCCCAAAAGTGCTCAGCTCATAGAGATAATTTCCTTTGCAACCAAGGGTTCAAACATGTATTCCTTTCTTTGAGAGACAAGCACAATGCTACAAGATGTTTTATTGGAAATTTTAGCAGCTGAGGAAACCCAGTCAAAGGCACTTTCTGAGCTACACAAAGGAATAACTCCAGTACTGGAAGCCATTGAGCTCCAAGACTTCAGAAGGGGAACACCACAAATTTGGGAAGGGGAACAACATCATTCTGTGGTACTTTGGTTAGAGTGAGGGGAGTGAAATTTAAGCCAAGCCAAACCAACAGACAAAAAACACCCCAATTAAACTTGAGTGCAAACTGTGCTCAGCCCAGTGTAAGTCTTGAAAGGAGTGTCCATGAACCTTTATGTTGGTGAAGCCTTGGAAGCAAACAAGTCAGCTCTGCAGGGAGATCAGCAGATATACAGCTAATTAGATAGATTTTTAAAGTGTTTTTACTGGTGCTTCTAATAATAACCTTGATTACTAAAACTGAAGGGATTTTTAGAGTATAATTTCCTTTTCTTCTAATTAAATCTCTTGATTGTCTTTTCTGCCCTGAATTAATGACAAAGAGGAACCTGCCTGGGCAGTGTGTATTTCTGTTTACATTCATTTTTGCTGTGTGGTTTTCATTTGGGAACAGCCTGGTGTGTTTGAATTATCAACAGGGCCATCAGGGAATAAAGCCTTCACTCTCTTTTGCTCTGACTTAAAAAATAACACAAGAATTCTATTGTTGTTGTGGTCCAGAAAAAAATCAGCTTGATTTTAGCAATTCTTTAGGCTAGGATAAAAATTATTTTAAAGTGTCTGTCCTTTTTTTAAAGAGAATTTACTTTAACTTAAATTAAAAGATAATTAACTCCTTTCCTGGAGGGCACCTGGTCAAGAGAGGACAGAAGTTCAAAGGAGGTGGACATTCACGTGGTCAGGTGCCATAACTCAATGGCTTTGCTAGCTGAAAACTAAGCTTTAAAAATCGATCCTTTCCAGGCAAATGGGACACAAGAACATTCATTTCTGGGTTCCAAATGACTCCAGGTAGAAGTTTAGAACCAGGATAATCAGCTCAGCCAAGAATGTGCTCTCTGGTGAATGAAGTTTAGACGGACAAGGTGGAAGGTGTGTGGAAAAAGCAAAGGATTTCCAGCTGATTTCCTAAACTGAGAGGCCTCTTCCCACTTCTGCTGAACTTCTGGAAGATGATTATTCTCAACATTAAAGGACAATTTGTGCTACCCCAGGGAGGGAAGCTGAGACAAATGGCATGAACTGCCCTCCAGAAATGCCCTGATTTTTTCATTGCATTCGAAGGGAGGGAGGCAGCTCACCCTGACTGAAATGGTGTCCATGTCACCCACATTCCGGTGCTGGTGACAGGGATGTCTCCAGCTGATCTGCTCAGCCCAGGCTGCTTTTGCAATGAGCCAGTGGAGAGAAGCAGACGTTTCCACGCCACGATTCACCTGCCCAGTTCAGGTGTCTGCTTTGGGCTGGGTGAATCATGGCCTTGGCCCCACTGGCTGTGCTGGCGAGACTGTCAAAGCCTGGGTGACTGGTGCAGTGGGGCATGTCTGCACCGTGGCAATGTCCAGGTGAATCATGCCATGATCCCTGACGAGGATGGGTAAATTCCTTGAAACAGTCCCACCCAGGAAAGTTCAGCCTTGTGTTGAAGGCCATGCAGAGAGCTCAGCTGTAGGACAGAGCCTGCAGGAACCCGCAGGAGAAAACCAAGAAAAGGATCCAATAAACTCATTTTTCTTATCTAATTGGCCAGATACGGAGTTTTTTTTGAGATTAATTCAGGGTGCACAACTGGCAGAAAACCGTCTGTGAAAGGGAGCCCGTGCTGAGTGTACATTTTTGTTGCACTGTTAAATATTATGCAAAACACTGAGCCACAATTTCTGGACTAAAGGCATCTTCTTAAACACCACTGAGGCTTCAGAGGACTTGTTGAGGGTGTTGCCTCTGTGGCCTTGTTGAGAATGGAGTTTTAGGGTGCCACATACCCAAACATCAATCCATTGGAACCCCTCCAAAATTGGGATTTAGGAGGTATTCACAGCTTTAGGATCAGGAGGTAGGTGGTCCTATCCCTGTAAAACATATGGAGAGGAGCCCTCACTGAAGTGTCCAGGGAAGAGCATGAATTTAATTGTTCCTACTCATGCTCCAGCCATTGGCTACAGAGAATCTAGAATGTGGATGTTTCCAAAGTGTGAAATTAACTCCAGCGCAAACATCCTTAGAGTTTGTTTCCACATCAACCACAGTCACCAACATCCTTCCCAAAGCTATCCAAAGTCTCTTATCCAGCTCCCAACAAAGATAAAGCATCCACTGAGTTACCATCAACCTGTTGTAGGCTCCATCACCACAGTGTGAAGCCAGAAGGATTTTTTTGAGCTATTTCAGCAGGACCTGGATGAAGTTTAAGGTTCCAGTCTCATAAACTTTAATCATATGAACAGCCCAATTCATGTCTATCTCTGGGTTTTTTTTGGTGGTTACTTCAGTGGTAGAATGAAAATACCAGTCATAGGAAGAGGAGTTTATAGGTTGGTACCCTCAACTGTTCATTTCCATTGCTGGGAAGATCACCTAAGATTTTTTTTAAAAAAAGCCCAAAATAATGGAGTAATACCTCTAATTGCTTTTTCACTGCTCCCTTCTCAATACAGCAGGGAAACAGTCACACCTGGCTTTCATCTGCATTACAGTCTGGGAAGCTTAATCCACAAAAGACAGTCTCCAGCAAGGGCCTGGATCTCAAAGTGTCATCAGGCCCCCAGACGGTGCAGTGCCAATTTGGGGTTTCATGGGGCACTGTGGAGTCACTTGGCTTCCTGCTGAAGGTGCAGGGTGGAATCTCAAAACATCTCTCCACGAGCTGTGGCTCTGCTGTTGAGCAGAGCTGAACACAATCCTCCTCCTCCTCCTGGCTCACTCGCAGCCTCTGGAGCCTGATAACATCTCCTGAGCACCCTCTCTTGGTTTCTACTTTGCTTCCAGGTGTAAACACTTTCTCCCTCTCTAAAGCCAATTTATCTTTAGGAGAACCCAGTTCTTTCAGCTCCCTGTCATTATTATTGATCATCAGCTGGGAACCTCATGAACCTTCCAATCTTGTCCTCCACCCAGAAAAACCCAACAACAACCCAACAACCAAACCTTTAGAAAAGATTGGGAAAGTCTATAAAGATCAGAATCTCATTTCAGTGTTGCTCAACTCTCTAGTAGCTCCCATCATTCATTTTTTCCTCACTGTTTCCAATGATCAAACCTGGCATTTGCATTTTTCCACTCTCCTGAATTCTCCTTCTGAACAGTCGCCTTCATGTGGGTAATTTTAAAACATGGGCTGAGGAATGGGCTGAGTGCTGTCTGCTGTGGTCTAACCAAGCATCACCTTCAAATCTCTGAAGCACCAACACTTCCTGCATGCATTGACCCCAACCTCTCCTTTTCCACTGGAGAATTCCTGGAGCTCTCAATTTTACAAATACACTCATCCCCAGAACAGGCGCTGCTCGAGTCTGAACCGAGGGAAAGGGTCAAAGAGCTGCTCCTTTCAAACCAGTCAGGCTTTTCTTCCCATTAGCACAGGAGGAGCCATGAAAACCCTGCTCTGCATGTCCACAGCCAAAGTTCCTGGCTTATCTTTAAGCCTTGCATGCCCTGAAGTGTTTAATTCAACCTCCAGCGAGCATTTTTCTTTGCCAACACACCTAGAGAGCTCTTCATTTCCCTTATCTCAATCTGCTCCTTCAGCAGAGCCGTTGTAAATAAGTACCTGGCCACCTTCTTAATAAATTACATGCACCCTCCCTCTTGGAATGGACACCCCAGCCAGGTAAGAGGGAGAAATATGCAGGAAATACCTGCTCAGAGCTTTTTTCAGGAAAAGAGAAGGCTCCAGCTCTGGATAACCTCGCTGTACACCACTCTGCTGACTTTTCAAGGTTGCCACCCTCTCAATGTGTCAAAAGTCCTTGACACATCAGGAGCAGCATGTGGACATTCCTACACCTGCTCACCTCTCCCTGAATTCTGCTGTTCCTGAGCTCTGCTTTGCTATTCATCTCGGAGGGGCCTTTTGAGAGTTTCCTCCAGGCATGTTCCTTCTGGGGTTCCCAGCACAGGGAAACTAACTGCATTTATTAATGCTGGACAGCAAGGGTGCCACGAATGGCCAATGACACTGAATGGTCAGGAGGCTCAGGGGGTAGGATCTCTAAGTCAGATCCCAAACCTTCACCACACAGGGCTGACACACAACAGATGAGCTGTGGAGTCTGGAAGCCGGGAAGCTGGAAGCAACTGGAAGCTGGGAAGAATATCCCAGAGGCAGAGACCAGGAACAGGAGATGGAGTTGAGCCTCCTGAGTCCTTTCCACTCTGGACACACGAGTGTCCATGAAACTCTTGTGTGGATACAAAGGAAGGACAGGGACCTGCTGGAGCAAGCCCAAAGAAGGGCCATTAAATGGATTAGAGGGATGGAGCATCTTTCCTATAAGGAAAAGTTGAGGGAATTGGGTTTGTTCAGCCTGGAAAAGAAAAGATTTCCAGAGTGACCTAATCGTAGCCTTTGAGGACCTCAAAGAAGCTACACAAAAGATGGAGAGAAGATGTTTACAAGAGCTTGGA